TTATCCGACACTATTCCGATGATATCCCGGACGTCAGTCTGAGCGAGATTAGAATAGCTCTCCAACACCTTAAAAACGGCAAGGCCCCAGGCGAGGATGGAATTACAGCGGAGCTTCTGAAAGCGGGTGGAAAACCGGTACTTGAAGTCCTTTAGAAGCTCTTTAATTCCGTCCACCATGGTGGCACTACACCGGAGGCGTGGAGCAGAAGTGCGGTGGTCTTACTCTTCATGAAAGGTGACAACGCTCTCTTGAAGAACTACAGACCGATTTCCCTTCTGAGCCATGTCTACGTGCTGTTTTCGAGAGTCATTACGAATCGAATCGCAAGCAGACTTGACGACTTCCAGCCTGCGGAACAAGCCGATTTCCGAAAAGGCTTTAGTACCATACACCACATACACCTACCCTTCGGCAAATTGTACAGAAGACAGAAGAGTACAATCTGCAACTTTGCCTTGCGTATGTGGACTATGAGAAAGCCTTTGATTCCGTCGAAATTTGGGCGGTGCTGCAGTCCCTTCAGCAATGCCAAGTTGACTGTCGGTATATCGAAGTGCTGAAGTGTTTGCACAGTAGGGCTACGATGGCTATCCGAGTACAGAACCAGAGTACGAAACCTATCCAATTGCAGAGAGGTGTAAGACAGAGTGACGTGATATCCCCGAAACTCTTCACCGCTGCATTGGAAGACGTTTTCAAGCTTCTGAACTTGAAAGGATACGGTCTTAACATCAATGGCGAGTACATCACTCACCTTCTATTTGCTGACGATATAGTCCTTATGGCAGAATCGCTTGAGGACCTAAGCACAATGCTCAATGACCTCAATAGTGTTTCCCAACGGATAGGTGTTAAGATGAACATGGACAAAACAAAGATCATGTTTAATGTCCATGTCACACCTATGCCGGTAGTTGTTGGGAGCACTAAGCTCGAAGTTGTTGACGAGTATGTTTACCTGGGACAAATAGTCCGACTAGGTAAGTGCAACTTCGACCGAGAGGTCAATCGACGAATTCAACTCGGTTGGGCAGCGTTCGGGAAATTACGGCACATCTTCTCGTCAAGTATACCTCAAAACTTGAAAACAAGACTGTACAACCAGTGCGTGTTGCCAGTGATCACCTATGGTACTGAGACGTGGTCCTTCACTGCTGGTCGGATGAGGAAGCCCAAGGTCGCTCAGCGAGCTATGGAGAGGGCTATGCTCGGAGTTTCTCTGCGTGATAAACTTAGAAATGAGGATATCCGCAGTAGAACCAGAGTAACCGACATAGCCCAACGGATTAGTAAGCTGAAGTGGCAGTGGGCCAGCCATATAGCTCGAAGAACCGATAACCGATGGGGAAGAAAGGTTATTGAGTGGCAGCCTCTTACCGGTAGGCGAAGTGTAGGGCGACCCCCCACGAGATGGAGTGACGACCTTGTAAGACATGCAGGAAGTCGATGGATGCAGGTGGCTCAGGACCGTGCTTTGTGGCATTCCTTGGGGGAGGCCTATGTTCAGCAGTGGAAATACAAAATTTGTATTATAATATCGCTATAAAATTTTACGATAGACGTTTAGTAAAAATAAAACAAATATATTGTAACTTTTCAAGACAATGTTGAAATGAATTGTATAGTAAATTTACAATGCAGCATGCTAAAATTACAAAGTTTGTATTGTAATATTGCTAAACTATTTTACGATAGTGTTCAGTAAAAATACAATATATGTTTTGAAAATTACATTAAATGATTTGTTATTTTTCTAAAAGGAGTTGTGTAGTAAATCTCCAACGCTGAATTTCATTATTGCTATTTTGTTGTGCGTAAAAACTTTCAAAGCTATTTTAGTAAAATTGCAATGAAATTTTTAATAGTGTAGGAGAGATTAGGCCATGTTTCATTAGATTGCGTAGGATCACCTAGAGTAGCGTACTCGTTAATAAATTCGACATAATAGCGTTTTAATTAAATCCGGCTGCTTTCGAAAACGTGATTCTAAATTTAAAAACCCTTCATTAGCTAACGAGTATGAATCGCCTAGACACTCTACATCGTCAGAAGAAGAAAAGAGACAGAAACAATCAGTGTTCAAATGCGTGGTAGTCGAAATAAAATGCTACTCACGCCTTTTCTTTTTAGAATAAGGTAGGCCTTGTTGGAAATTTTCTAGCTTCCAAAATTTGTTTGGTAAGATTAGGAATACCGTTTTCCCTTAAAATCATATTGCATATGACTGATTTATTTGGAGTTAGTTGATTTAAGAATGAAAGAATAATAGTGTCTTTATTAGATCCTACGAGTAGAGGGTGTTGTTCTAACCGGAGCACCAATGAGCATATTAATAGAGGATGGAACGTTAAAATTAGGATCCGTAATTTTGATACCAGACAAATTAAGAGCCCTGATATCAGACTGTTTTAGATAATCTGTCTGAAATTTTATAAAATTAGGTATAAACTAAACAACAAAGAATAGAACTACAAGAAGGGTTATTAGATTTTAGATCGAGGTACATCACTCTGTACTTAGTTTGATTTGAGTACTACCAAAATTGATATTTAATGGCTGACGAGTCAGGTTTAATTTTTCGGTAATAAAGGATGACTGACTCCCGCTGTCTAATAGATACTGTATTAATATTTTTCAATTACTCAGTTACGTGACCCCGACGTCTATTGGATTCTCTGTCTACGAATCACTCAAATCGCATCAATCACTCAACTATAGAAGAATATTATGAAGTAGAGTCTGTTATCTAATCTAATCTAATAAATAAAATAAATTCAACAAAAAAATCAGACTATCGATATGCCTATGTTAAAACTTCCGTCAATTATTATATTTAAAATATATTCAATTATTTTATTTGTTAAATAATACATCTACACATACATGATCGTCGGTTAAACGGTACTTTTTAACTGGGGCCATCTTTAATATTCAATGCATGGGTTTTTCTGCCAATTAATATTTATTAGTACTACATGCTACATGTAATTATGTTAAATCCTCTATATATTTGGACTGGCTGTAGGTACACCGTGATATAATGAGGTGATTTGATTTTCGCCATTTTGGTGCTGACAGCAGAAATGAGATTCTACAGAACTAATAGTAGAGACAAGACAGTGGGATAAAATAATAGGTCGGGGAAAAAGTTGTTTCTATAAAATTAAAGAAAATTTTCTTCGGTTGTACTGTTTGTATCTGGTTGGTTATAATATAAATACGTAAAGGACATTAAGAAAAAGAAAAGTAAAAAGTAAAAAAACACTTTCCCGCCATTTTTAAATTGTTTTTCTGTCCACCAATATGAGTGAGTGAATCTAATGAAGAAAATCCATACATCCGGAAGTCTTGATGTCAAAGATGCAGCTCGCTCTGGTCGTCCTCATACGGATAATGTCGAAGCCTTTTTTGAAAAAGTGGAACACGATCAGCATATTAGTAGTTAAGACATAGCCGAGGAATTGAGGATTGATCACAAAACAGTTTTGACACATTTGAAAAAATCTGGCTATATAAAAATCACGATATTTGGGTACCACACAAGCTCACTGAAAAAACCTAATGAATCATGTACACATTTGCGATTTTCTATTGAAACTTAATGAAACCTAAACCTTATTGAAAAGATTGATCACTGGTGATGAAAAGTGGATCACCTACGCCAAGAACGTGCGAAAAAGATCATGGTGAAAGGGTAGTCAACAGACAAGGCTCCACAGACTGTAGCGAAACCCGGATTAATACGCAATAAGGTAATGCTGTGTATATGGTGGGATTGGAATGGCATCGTTCTTTATGAGCTTTTACCGCCTGACAAAACCATCCATTATGATCTCTACTGCCAACAACTAATGAGACCCAAGCAAGAAATTGAGCAACAGAAAAAAAGTGGTCTTTCATCATGATAACGCCAGACCACACACATATTTGGCCACTCAGCAAAAATTTAGAGAGCTTGGTTGGGAAGTGTTAATGCAACCACCATATTGGGTAGTGATGTTAGGTTAACATCAAAAGAGTACTGTCAAAACTACTTGTCGCATTTTTTTTAAAATCAAAATCCCAAGATTTCTACAGCAACGATACAAGATAGCAACAAGTTTATCGAACAAAATGACACGTATACATATTAAAATTAAACTTTAAAAAAATACGAAGAAACTTTTTCCGCGACCTAATAACTAATAAAAATTCTATACCCAGGTCTACCCGTAACGTCCATTCCATTTATGTATCATATTAACATAATGCTATACAATGAATAAATGTATCAATTAATACCTAGGCCTTAGACGCAAGCTTTATAACTCATATATATCCAAGATCGAGGCTGCATTGATCTATCTACGTTTTTATTCGTAACTACAGAACGGATTTCGCTCCGGGTTTCAACATTGGGTGTGTTGGGTCATTCGCGAGGCTGAAATATTCAATTAATATTGGAAAATATTCAACTGGTGTAAGTACCTATACAAAATAAAAACATAATTTCGCAAAGAATTTATTGTTAACCGTTCATTCAGTTCTAGTATTATAGGAAACGAATTACTTTGTAGCTGCTAAAATAACGCCTATTCTAATTATTTACAGGTCTATCTCAGATGTTTACTATTAATTTTTAGTGTTAATATATTTTTGTGGTGAGAAAATAAATAAATTTTCAATTTTCAATTAATGGTACAAAAATGCAGACGTAATAAAATTAAAGGTAATTATGTTATACACAATTATTCGATCGAATGCAATAAAGATAAAATTTTAATGGTTGTTTTTAAAGTTACTCGTTTTCAACGAGACGAGACGAGACGTTTCGAACTGACTGGTCGCTGAGTGGACTTACGCGGTTTCGCGTTAGTTTTACTTGCATCACTTTCGTTGCGGGTAGTAGGATTCTGTGCGTAATAATTCTATGGACACTACTAATCACTTGCTTCTGGGATTAGAAACGGCAACGCCCAAATGCTTACGGAAAGGTCATTAAAAAAAAAAGATACGATATGCATAATATTATGTATTAACAACAGATAATAAATACAACCTAACAACAATTGTTTTAGGTATATTCTAATTAAGAAACAATATTGTAATTCTTTTAAGAATTGTCAAACACAAAACGATATTATTAATACTCAGTTTTTTTTTTTATAACAAATACAAGTTTGAAACAATTTTAAAAATATTTATGATTTAAATATAAAGTTACACAAAGTGTTAACAAAATTATACAACTTTAGAGAGGTTTTTCACAACTCTTAAGATAATACACTAAAATTCTAGTTGTGTTACCTTAGCACCCTTGTTCAAAATGCACTATGTTATCACATGCTACTTAACATAGAGATTATGGTTTAAGAAATAACTAATAATAATTGAAATATAACAAAAATGGTAATCACTTTTAAAGAACCTATTAAATGTTTAAAAAATGTGCACCTTGCACCTAATTTAAATCAATATGAAAATGTATACAAAATGCAGTTACCTTAGCACCCTACTTGTTCAAAATGCACTATGTTATCACATGCTACTTAACATAGAGATTATGGTTTAAGAAATAACTAATACTAATTGAAATATAACAAAATGGTAATCACTTTTAAAGAACCTATTAAATGTTTAAAAAATGTACACCTTGCACCTAATTTAAATCAATATATAAAAGGTATAGAAAATGCAGTAAACCGCTTAATAAACTACACATTTTAACAAAATTGAGTATTAGTCTCATAAATTTATAAAAGCCATTATGAAAATATTACAAAAATGGTGTTTAAAAATGTGCAAAAATTGTTAGTTTCAAATGAGGTATTATTTGTTTTTCACTCCAGGATCATTTGCAGTAAATGGGTTATAATCCTGAAGGCCAACAAGTTCCATCGAAACATCCCATAACTTTTTAGCATATTCATCATTTAAGGCATTACTGTGGGGAGTTGTCACAACACAGTCACTGAAAAACAATAAAAAATATATTACACAATTAAATCTATGCAAGTTATATTTTTTAACTACCAATGTTATGACAACAAAATCTGATGTTTTATAATGCCGATATGAGTATCGGCATTATAAAAATAATATATATAAAAAGGTGTAATATCTTTTATAAATTAATAAAAGTAAAAAGAACAGCAACAGAGTATTTAATTATTATTGATTAAATCCTATAGCTGGCAATAAACCTGTCTCAGTCTCATTTCTAAGCAGGAAAATTAATGCATATTCATTATGATTTATGACTAAATAAGTAAAGAGTGTGGTCATCGTAGGTTAAAATATTCAAAATTTAACATTATAAACATCATATTACATAATAATACCTGTAATATAATCCAGTCTCATTGGCACATTTTTCATCCACTGCACAGTAAATTGTGGTTTGTGCCCCTAGCTCAGGGGACTTCAGAAAAGGCCGTAGGATTCCAAATAGTTTTCTTGCTCCCCAAAATAAAGTGTCATCCATATGACGGCCTAGCTCAGTTTTTATAACTCCAGGGTGTAAGCTGTATGTATTAACACCCTCTATATTATATTCCTGTAATGAGAAATTCAGTGACAAACATTTTGAGAAAATTTTATTTACATAAATTTTACTGGCTTAATATAGTTAGTTTTTTATTATAATATTGTTACGAACTTGGAGTTCGAGACAATTAAAACTGCCGATTGAATTACCAAAATTGACACTAATTACGGAACACTAATTACAACTTAAAAACCACACTAATAATAAAACATAATTGCACATTAGTTCGCAGTTATATCACTTCGAACTATTCGCGTATATCGCCAATTCAATACTGCCCCGGTCGTAGTCTATACCAGCCTTATATAGGGCCTCAGATAATTTCCAGAACCTCCTACTGTAGCGACATCTAGAATGTTCGAGTACTTATCGGTCCCGAAATTTCTGGAAGGATCTTGACTCTCCTAGTTCTGCTACTCGACACTAGAGGGCGCTAGTGTAACTAGTGTTGCCATGTACAAGACAATAGTGGCGCGCAACAATATCACTGATATGCAGGAGTAATGGCGTTAGTGACAGACGCAGCCTTGTGGACCACCAGCGTTAATACGCTTGTAATAGGAGCATGCACCGTCTACTACGACCTTGATGCTCCGATCGACAAGAAAGCTGGTGATCCAATTTTCTTGGGTAGCCCATAGGAAGGGATCTTTTAAATAAGCGCGGTGTGCCAAACCCGATCGAACGCCTTCGCAATGTCCAAAGTAACGATCAATGCCTACCTCTTGGACTCTACTGCCTCCGCCCATCTATGAGTCAAGTAGACCAGAAGATTACCCAGCTGAAGGTACCTTATGAGCTGACAATTTATAATGGATTCCATTATTTTGGAGAACATGGAGACGATGGCGATAGGCCTGTAGTTAGACGTGAATTTTTAGGGATCAGGTGGACCAAAGCTATCTTCCATGAATTCAGGACTACGCCTAGGAGTAACGGAAATTACGCGTTAAAACTGGTCCCAACTCCGAAGCACACGTCTTCAGCACAATAAGAGTGACTCTATCAGGCCCACTCGACTTGTTAAGGTCCAGAAAGTGGAGTGCACTCACACCGTGGGATGGTCGGCGTCGTGTTCCCCCGTCATTGAGAGTCGAGTTGGACGCAAAGAGAGAGCTTAGCAGATTGGCTTTCTCCTTTGCTGTAAAGGCCAGTGAGTCTTCCTCCCTGTGCAGAGATGGTAGAGATGGCTGACAGAAGTTCCCAAGCTGTCCTTGGCAAGATATCATAATGCAGGTGTTCCCGAAGGCAGTCGAACAAGTTTCTCGCCATTTTTGCCGATGCGCTCTGACTTCGCTTTGCCAATGACACTTTTGAAGGACCTGGAGGCGGAATTGTACGTCTTTTTAAGAGCGCTTGTCTTATTCTAAGACGTTGATGTTAACCCAGGCCTCGTAGCGTTGTTGGGATCATCCGGCAAAAAGCAAACCCGCCCCCAGGGGGTATGCAAAAAAGACCGCATCCTGTCCCAATCGGCAAACCTATAATGATAAACAAGGCAGCAACATGTAGAACGAACCGCAACGTAGCATGAGTGGCACCGTACTCCGGATCAAACAATGGTCCGAAATGCCAAGAGGGGCATCGACGGACACCTATATCCGTCCGGATGAAGGTCAGCAGAAGGTGCAACAGGGAAGGTGCATGATCCTCCACATCTGGGATCCGCGTACGCGAAGAAACCAGTTGTGTCAGATCATATGCCAAGTCAGTCATAAACAGATCTAAACGCATGATCGGTTAAACGGGAACCAATCCAGCGTGATGGGCGTTCAAATCACCAAGGATCACGATCTCTCCAGATGGCACTTGTTGAGCACGGCGTCTGCAGCATTTGGACGTGGTCGATGAGTCGGTCTGTATTACTTATATGGAACCTATAGAGGCACCTGTGGACGCGGGGATGTTTGTCGCGCAGCCTCGAGATGGACAGGTTCATCTCGAGGCGACCTTCAAGATTGCCGGGGCGTTGAAAACAGATGTCCTCTTTCACGTATACGCAAACTCCAGGCAGGGTCACAAAGGAGTAGCCTCAATAATCAGCCAGTTTCCTAACCTAAACACTTGCGTTTCGATAAGAGAGAGCAAGGCCGGCTTCCGACCATTCATCATCATTACAGCCCTTCACAAGTCCACTGCTGAACATAGGCCTCCCCCAAGGAATGCCACAAAACACGGTCCTGAGCCACCTGCATCCATCGACTTCCTGCATGTCATACCAGGTCGTCACTCCATCTAGTGGAGGGACGCCCTACACTTCGTCCGCCGGTACGAGGCCGCCACTCGAGAACTTTTTTTCCCCATCGGTCGTCGGTTCTTCGAGCTATATGGCCGGCCCATTGCCACTTCAGCTTACTAATCCGTTGGGCAATGTCGGTCACTCTGGATATCCTCATTTCTAAGTTTATCACGCAGAGAAACTCCGAGCATAGCCCTCTCCATAGCTCGCTGAGCAACCTCATCCGGCCAGCAGTGAAGGACCACGTTTCAGTTCCATAGATCATCACTGGCAACACGCACTGGTTGTATAGTCTAGTTTTCAAGTTTTGAGGTATACCTGACAAGATGTGCCGTAATTTCCCGAACGCTGCCCAACCGAGTTGCATCCGTCGATTGACCTCTCGGTCGAAGTTGGACTTACCTAGTAGGACTATTTGTCCCAGGTAAACATACTCGTTAACAACTTCGAGCTTAGTACTCCGAATAGCTACCGGCATAGGTGTGACATGGACATTAAACATGATCTTTGTTTTGTCCATGTTCATCTTAAGACCTATCCGTTGGTAGACACTATTGAGGTCATTGAGCATAGTGCTTAGGTCCTCCAGCGATTCTGCCATAAGGACTATATCGTCGGTAAATCGAAGGTGAGTGATATACTCGCCATTGAGTTAATACCGTATCCTTTCCAGCCTAGTAGCTTGAAAATGTCTTCCAATGAAGCGGTGAAGAGTTTCGGGTATATAACGTCGCCCTGTCTTACACCTCTCTGCAGCTGGATAGGTTTCGTACTCTGGTTCTGTACTCGGATAGCCATCGTAGCCCTACTGTACAAACACTTCAGCACTTCGATATACAGATAGTCAACTTGGCACCGCTAAAGAGACTGTAGCACCGCCCAAATTTCGACGGAATCAAAGGCTTTCTCATAGTCCACATACGCAAGGCAAAGTGGCAGATTGTACTCTTCTGTCTTCTGTACAATTTGTCGAAGGGTGTGTATGTGGTCTATGGTACTAAAGCCTTTTCGGAAACCGGCTTATTCTGGAGGCTGGAAGTCGTCAAGTCTGCGTGCGAGTCGATTCGTAATGACTCTCGAAAACAGCACGTAGACGCGGCTCAGAAGGGAAATCGGTCTGTAGTTCTTCAAGAGAGCGTTATCGCCTTTCTTGAAGAACAAGACCACCACACTTCTGCTCCACGCCTCCGGAGTAGTGCCACCATGGAGGACGGAATTAAAGAACTTCTGAAGGACTTCAAGTACCGGTTTTCCACTCGCTTTCAGAAGCTCCGCTGTAATTCCATCTCGCCAAGTTAGCTTAGTTCTTCGGAATAGTGTCGGATAAGACTCGCTCTTGGATCGTTACTCACACTTGCGTGTGGCTCCAACGATGACGTGTACAGCTGCTCATAGAACCTCTCAATCTCACTCAAAATCTCAGGTGTCCCGGAAACGTGCTGCCACACTCGATCTTCAGCTTTCACAATTGACTCTTTCTGGCAGACAGATCTCTGGCAAAGACTTTGGAGCCTTGGTTCCGCTCGATCGCTTCTTCAATACAAGCTGTATTGAAGTGGCGTATGTCCCGCCGCATGCATTTGGAGATCTGTCTGTTCAGTTGCCTGTATGCTGTCAAATCTGTTAAAGACTGCAGCTTCATTTCCCGTCTAACAGTCATGAGATTAAGAGTGTGTCCGAACACAGTCCGAGTTTTTGTGTTCTTCTGCGGCGGGTGTTGCAGAACTTAGCTTCTACCGCATGGACAGTTTCGAGCTTATCATTTATATCGTCCCCTTCAATGCAGTCTTCCAGGCACTGAAAACGGTTTTGCAACTCGAGCTGAAGGGTTTCGGGACTTTGGGCTAGAGCACGAGGGGTCGGAGCGTTGACTTTATTAGACGAGACCTCTCCAACTTAACGACTAGGTTCAGTGTGCCCCTACCCATTCGGTGATCGCTACCAGTTTTCGCCCTCGCGATCACTGAGACATCACTAAACAGTTGTGGTCTGGTCGTCATAATGAAGTCAATCTAATTTTTTGTCGAACCGTCGGGGCTCGACCAGGTCCACTTCCTGTGGGGCCGCTTCTGGAAGAAAGAGTTCATCATAAATAGTCCCTCTTTCTCCATGACATCGGCTAGCTGCTGGTCCCTTGGGTTCCGTTGCCCTATTCCGAATTTCCCTACTTTCAGCTCACCGTTCTCTCTTGTGCCTAATTTTGCATTGAAGTCTCACATTAACACCGTATAGTGGGTTTTGGAGGAATGCATGACTCCAGAGATATCCTCATACATTTCCTCCACCTCCTCATCGGGGTGTGCCGAGGTTGGTGCGTACACCTGTATGACCTTCAGCGAATACCGCTTGGTGATTCTGAGTATAAGGTACGCAACTCTCGTCGACACACTCCCAATCTTTACAACGTTGTTAACGAGAGACTTGTGGACGATAAATCCGACACCTCCTTGGGACAGATGGTCAGCCTCCCGGTGATAGAGGAAGTTGCCGGATTCGAGGATTACCGTGTCCTCCCCCTCTCTTCGGACCTCGGATAATCCTATAATATTCCAGCGCAACTTGTCTATCTCTTCTTCCAGCTCCAGGATTTTCTCGTCAGTCCTCAGGGTTCGTGCGTTATAAGTTGCCAGGTCGAGTCGTCGTAGGTGGCAACCGAACCTCCACCGGAGATTCTTAGCACCCCTTGCCCCGCCGTTACCATGGTCGCCACCGTAGCCAGGAATAGCGGGGCCGCCGGAGACTGGGGGCCGTACTATCGTAACTTTTTTCATTGGGGGGTATATTGCAATAGTTGCCACGCTTGGCGAGCGGGTTGGCAACCGCAGTTTTTTATTGGGATATTGCTGTTATCAGGAAGATTTTGCTGTCCATTTCCTGCCCGTTTCCCAATGTCACCTTTTACGACACCCACGGGAAGATATGAAACAAATATTCGCCACGTGCCCGAGCGCGAATCGTAAGAGCCTCCCGCCCCTTTTCGTCGTTATTTCCCCATAGAGCCCATATCGTGAGCTCACTTTGCGGATGTAATTAAATCAAAGATTTGAGTTGATAAAAACTTTAAAAATCTCTACAATATATGGGTAACAGGATACGCTGAGTAATAGATGGAGAAAAAATTCGAATATACACAGCGCTGATATACGCCGAGGAGTAGCGACCTACAAATGTTGTGCGGCAAATCGCTGAACTAAAATATTTGCCAAAATTCATTTTTGTTTACCGATAATATGAAGTTTGTTGGCTGATTATCAGGGTGCGTCAATCTTGCGTCCGTATACTGGACGCAACAAGTCGGTCAGACGCAATATCATCAGTAATTTCACCCATGTAGGGCGCAAGAGTACTCATGAGATGTAAATATTTGTATACATAAATTAAATTAATAATGAGTTTATATTTAAAGAAAATAAAATGATACCTTTAGTTTTGTTGCCAGCTCTCTGGAAAATAATACATTTGCAAGTTTACTTTGAGAGTATGCTTGGATTGCACTATATGGTCTCCTTTTATAATTTAAATCCTCAAAATTAATCCCATAACCTAAAAAAAGACTAGTTTTACAATAATTATACAAAAATAAGGTTGTTTTAATATATGTTCTGATTTTATTTAAAAAATGTTTACAAAGGATATCTTTAAGTACTCTACTCAACAGTAATATCTCATTTTACCCCGACTCCACATTGTACAAATTCAAAAGCTGTTTTTATTAAATTTATGCACATTAAATGGATACATTAATTGATTTCTCAGCTTCTCAGTAATCGAAAGTGGATTGTCAGATTATCAGTTGACTTAATGCTGCATAGAAATAGTTTTTCTTGGTATTAAGCCTGAATTATTAACAATATTACATTGCTATGATCTGTGTCAGTGAATTTTCGAAAGCTTTTTATTATATATTGGATGGATGTACTAGATAAAAGTTTTTTATTTACTACATACAATACACTTTTTTATCTAATACATAATGGTACAATAGTACTAGATATTTTATCTAGGACTTAATAATGTGTTAGAATTTGTAATTTAGTTTTTTTTTTTAAATACATTCACAATGACATTCAGGGTAAAAAGTTATGAGTATAAAAAGACCATAATTTCATAGACTATATTCCAGATGTAAGAAAGAAGAGATTTTGTTTAATGAAAAATGTAATCATAATTTTTTTTTCTTTTATCATTTATCTCTCAAAAATGTTACATCTATGGAAGGCTTTAGTCTTGCACATGGACAAACATACAAACCTAGAATATAGGCCATGCTAATGACTTGTTCAGTGCAGGATTTGAACTTGTACTAATGCACAATGCTACAGAGCTGTCTAATACGTCTTTACTATTTTATCTTAATAATATTAAGTCTTTACTTATGAAATGGCCATTTTTATGAAGTTAATTTTTTTTTCTATTAATCAAAGTAATCACCCGTGCAATCTATGCATCTTTGCCAACACATTGGCAGTTTATTAATGCCCTTCTAGAAGAAAATAGCTGGATGGGAGGCAACAAATTCTTTAAAGGCATTTTGTACTGAATTTTTTTTCTCTGAATTCAGGTATTGAATTTTTTTCCCATCAAAAAGTTATTCAAATTCTGGAAAAAGTAGAAGTCTGTAGGCACAAGGTCTGGTGAGTGTGGCGGTTGATGGAGAGATTCCAACCCCAGCTCTTGTAACTTGAAGACCGTTTGTTGTGCAGTATGAGGTCGCACATTGTCTTGCAGCGGGACGAGTGTTTGACCAAAGCTGTCTGGAGACGTGCGAGCTTCTCCATCATTGTGTTCAGTGCTTCAAAGTACACATCTGCAGTAATGCTCATCCTGTTTGGTAAGAAGCTGTGTTGAATCACTCTGGTGCTAGATCACCAAACAGTAACCATCACTTTACTAGGGATAAGTTTTCGTTTAGGGCATTTAGGTGCTGAACCCGGAAAATCCAATCAACTTGCTGAATGCTTGCGATTATCAAACAGAATCTATTTTTCGCCACAGGTAACAATGAGGTTCAATATTCATTCCATTGTGTGTCTGTTGAGCAGTGAAAGGCACGCCTCTGTCAAGCTTTTTTACCTTGCAAATTTGACGCAAATGGACCAATATTGTTTTGATGGTAACGTCGAAAGCTGTTGCTAATTCAGCCGTAGATTGAGTATCATCAGCTTCCACAATCGCCTTTAATTCGTCATCGTCGACCAAAGTTTGCAGACGACAATGGAGTTAATTTTTCAGGTCCAAATTTCCAGAACGGAAGTGAAACAAGGGTTGGCTATAGACCTCCGGTACTTGATGTTAATTATGTTTTCAATTTACAAGGCTGGTTAGGGTTAAGCTTGAACATTTTACACTATTTTTGGCTGTCGTAAATGCGTTTTGAATTAATTACGATAAAAATAAATTTCACTAAAAGTTGCATATAATGAAACGCAAATATGTCAATTTGGTCAAGTATTATGAAGTAACGTCAAGAACTTCATTTCAATTATGTTTTCAGTTTTTGGAGATTTGTCAAGGTTAAGCTAGAACCTTTTATACTATTTTTGAATTACGGAAATGTGTTTACTTACTAAAAATTGCATATATAACGAAACGGGTCACCCATAAAAAAGTTAATTACTTAGACCGAGACAATCCATTTGTGGCGAAGATGAGACTCATACACAACAAATTTAGTCACAGTGGATAGCAGTCAAAGAGGTATTTCAAAAAACAAAATTATAACAATTCACATTACATTGTTTCATTTACCACTATCATAGCAGAGTTTAGGGCAACCTGACTTAAGACTTAGATAGGATAGGTCGAATCTTTACTAAAACTGAATCAGATGTCCAGACTCCACACAGTCTTGTCTGCCCTACCCCTAGTGTTTTTTTAAAGCCATAGGCGAGGAGGGAGAGCAGCCCCCGTCCGCTGTAGCAAATCACAGGCACCTGTGTGAACCATAGCGGCTGAGGCTGGTCACCAAAGGCGACCAATAAGCCGAAGCTGCAGAGGTGAGCATGGATGCCTGTGATTTGCTACACTTCCTGCAGCACCGAAGCCGTTGCAGAAGTAACTTTGAGTCAAATTTCATGTGTAAAACAGTTAGGTTATATTACAAAAAAAAATATTACTCATAAACTATAATTTTCCGCAACAGGAGAAGGGTACCCAGGGCTTCCCCTGAATTGTGTTTGGGTGCTCATTTTCTAACATGCTGTAGTGTGTAAAATTATATAGATTTACTATTTACTTTGGACCCTATAAATTCATTATTGTTTGATTCTCTATCTTTTTATACTCATAATTTCCTATCCTCAATGTCATTATGAATGTATGGGTAAAACAAAAAAACAAATTATGCATATTTATTTTTGCCATCACAATTAGGACCAATATGATCTATAATCCCTAAGATACTCTGAGCCTCTTTACCGCTGAGCCACATGGAAAATTTAACAAAATTTCTAAGAATTATAATTCTTCTTTTGTAATTAATATAATTGCAATACTTACTTGTATGTGCTTTGGACGATACAGTTACAATTCTCGCAGGTGTACTATTTTTTATACGTGGCAATAGAAGTAGAGTGAGAAGAAAATGGCCTAAATGATTTGTTCCAAACTGTGTTTCAAATCCATCTTCAGTTTCTCCTTTAGGACACATCATAACACCTGCATTATTTACTAAAATATTAACATGAGGTTCGGTGTCTAATACTTTCTGACTGAAATCCCGCACAGATTTTAAAGAAGATAAGTCACATCTCTCTATCACCAAGTTGCCGGTCTCAGGTAGACCCTTACATCTCTCTTCTATTTCTTTCTTAGCGTCTTCAGCTTTTTCCAAACTCCGACATGCTAATATAACTTTAGCACCTATTAGAATATTAAACATTCATTATTAATTATGAATATGAATATTTATGAATTAATGATGCTAAAGTAACTAAGGTTAGTATACTATAAAGCTCCACCGATTCTATGAAAAAATATTGAATAATTAGCTATTTATTTATCGCAATGAATAACATTTTTAAAGGATTATATTGTTAAGTAAATAAAGTACAATTAATATTTAAATATATACCTACCTCGTTTATAAAAATCTAGAGCAGTTTCTTTACCGATGCCTGTATTACTTCCTGTTATAATTGCAGTTTTTCCGATTAATTTGGAAGTACTTAAACATCTACCACTAAAAAACGGCATTGTTAAATTATATATAAACTTAAATATTTAATTTGATTTAAGTTTAGAGTTGTAGAGATAGAACTGCGCTAGCACTTGTTTTGTTAACTTCTAATTAGTAATTAGTAATTACCTACTACCTAGTTTGTGTTTGTTTGTGAGTAGAGCACAGAGTATCCTTATATATACTGAAATACTGAATACTTGTACATACAACTTTATAATTTGTGGGCAGATTTTTTTTTTTGGAGTTTATGGCCTGGTATCTAGACCTTTAGGCCAAGTCTTAAGTATTTTTATTCGGTTTATTGTAATTTCCCACTCCTTCATAGTATACTGCTTCACAATATGTTGATGCGTCACATTGTGCAGTTCTTGGGAGATTTTAGCGGCAACTTGATACAGCAGACAGCTGATAGTTGGCGATGGTATCTAAAGGTGCCTATGCAAACAAACAGCTTATCTTGAGAATCCACCACCATCAGAGCACTTGTTTCACTGTTTCCACTAATAGTTCACATGGGTAGACGCTTAATACACAAAATCGCAACACTTTTACATATCAAAGTCCACTTCAAACCATTATTTAAACAATAATACAGGAGCAGCAAACCGCCGCCGGTCAATTTCCCGCCAAAACTCCTGGAATGAGCAGATCAGCAGAGCAGGGTGACTTCTTTAAAATACAGATCCTGCCTTACTTTGGTTAAAAACCTGTCAAATCCTGCCAAAGTCTGTAGTGAAAAATGCCTATATACTGCCAACTTTATTTACCATTGTATTAAACTAAGAAAAGTAAAAATACACATATAAATGCTATATTTTTTAAATTAAACATATCTTTCGTTGGTTTGAATGCAATGCAGTCGCCATGCTCAACGACGCCTTGTTTAACGTACAAGGTAACGTACAACGTAACGTAAATGTTTGTTTATAAATCTGTTTCGTGTTTTTGTCTTAATTAAATTTATTTAAGAGAATATTCTTTCGCATGTTGAATCCACTCATATTTTTTATGTTGACTAGTAGCGGCCTGCTCCTTTAACAGCCGGGGTGCCAATTTGCAGTTACATAGCCTGGATCATCTTTAGCTTTAGAGATCCATGATGAAAGTAAAAGATCTTGCTCCCATGTCGCTCTATACGCCCTTTCATATTTTCGCTTCATCACCATCATCTATAGTTACTATCTTCATCATGAAATTTAAGGCGATACCAAACTAAAGTACTTCTCTTTTATGACTGATTTAAATATTAACCAACTCGTGTAAATTCGTTTTAAGATTATCAACTTTATACACAAAATTTTTAAAGTTGTTTATTGAATGTGTGGAATGACCAAGTATCTAGGGTTGCCATTTTCGTCATTTTAAGTTGCCATAATGAAATCTATTTTAATATCCCAATACTGCCAAATACTGCCAGGTTTTATAAAACGTCAACCGATCATGCCAAAGGCTAAAATAAGAGGCCGATCCTGCCATAATGGCAGGGACCTGCCAGATATGGTCACACTGCAGCAGAGCTAAGAAACTAGTTTTTCTAAGGCCCGCCACATACATACGGAATTCCGTTTCGGTATTCCGAATGGGTCGGCCACACTCATACGGAATCCCGTTTTGCCCGCAAGATTTCGAACGGAAAACTATCGTACGTGTGTGACGGATCATAGATTTAATATGAACTTGCTGCGTTCGGAATCCCGATTCGGGATTCTGTGAATCAGCGTAGTTCCTGACAAATTTAGAGTTGCCGTATCCTAATCCTAAAATAGCCGGATTTTTAGGGAAAACTAAGAAAAATGCCGTATTGTACAAAATATTTAAATATTTAGAAGGTTAAAATTAAAAAGAGATTAAATGTTGTTTACATAATAAATGTGTACTATAGTTGGACTAATTTTATTCTTCACCATATAGGTTTTGAATAGTTTCCTTTCGTCGTCCTTTTTTTATCTTTCATTTTACGAATAATTTCATTTGGCACAATTACTGTGATTACGGATTGCTTGTCTGGCTAGAAGAGTTCCATTAATAGTTTAAGTTATTAATTTATTTCGAAGTCTCGTTTTCATATTATTTACTTCACTGAAGATACGCTCGCAATCTGCGTTTGAGTATGGCAGACATAAAACATTTAAAGCAAAAGATGCTAATGTTTTTAGTTCTGTTCCATCACTGATTTTAATCCAAAACTCATCGGTTTTCTGTGAGCTAATTTCATATAATGGTAATTTATTTACCACTGGTAGCATTCTCCATTCATCATCAATTTTTTGGAAATCGTCAGCATTATTGAAGATTCGTGGAAACTTTTGCATAAGCGGTAAAATGGATGGACAAACATTTCTTGTTTGATTACTAGCTGCTTCTTCAGGTGATAAATATTTTAAAAGTTGAAGTAAATCGTCAGAGAAGTCGTATCTTTTTTTAATTTCTTTGCAGCCTGTGATGAGGAAATCTCTGCAGCGACAGTAAAACTCTTTTAATTCTTCTTTTTTTGCTTTCTATCATAATTTTTACCCCCAAATACATTTCTGGGAGGAAATATCGCGTATCTTCTGGGACGCTTGAGCGGATATCATTTTGTTAGCTTTAACTAATAGATCGTACATAAAGCATAACAAAGCATTACATTTAATGAATAGATAATAAAACAGAACCAAAATAGGTACAGCACATAGGTGCATCCCTTTATCACCCTAAGCTTGCAATATAGTCAATACTATGTAAGAAGATCTATCTATCCAGAGATATTTTTTAAATATTTATGTATGTAAATTGTTTCGAAGAATTATTAAATAAAATAAGATGAAAGGGTACGAAAAGCTATACACCTACAAGATTAAATGTAAAATAATTGATTAAATGTAAATATTTGTACGCAGGAAACTGCAGTATATTTAGGATCTGAATTATTCTGTAACAACTTAAATGTACCATATTCTAACAAATAAATCATCTTTCACGTTTCCGTGAATTCATCACACACACAAGTTTTTTTTTTCCGTTCGGAATAACAAGGGTCAGTTAAGCGACGTTAGCCATTGAGTCTAGACATTCTGCCAGCGAATAATGACGACGATTTTCTAATTGCGATTCCATTGTTGCTGTATTATTCTTACTAGGTGCATCCCCTTATCACCGTAAGCTTGCAATATAGTCTGAGCGCGTTCCGTACGGAATTTACGTATGTGTGTTGCGACTCGTACAAAATCTTTGGAAGACGTGCGTTCGGAGCGGCTTTTTTCCGTTCGGGATCCCGAACGCACAGGCGGTCATACGGAATCTCGAATCAAAGAAATTCCGTACGCAAAAATAACGTACGTGTGTGTCATAGATTTTATATGGACTTGCTGCGTTCGGAATCCCGAATCGGAATATCGAAACGGAATCCCGAAACGGAATTCCGCATGTATATGGCCGGCCTAAGTTTCGTGCAAGCAAGTTCATATAAAATGTAGGACCCGTCACACACGTACTTCCGATAGAACGGTAGTTTTCCGTTCCAAATTTTGCGGGCAAAACGGTATTCCGTATGTGTGTGGCCGACCCTTTCGCAATTCTGAAACGGAATCTCGAAACGGAATTCCGTATGTACGCGGCCGGTCTTAGTAGTCTGTGCGCGTATGCGTAAGCCGCGTCTCCACTCTCCACTCAAAGAGTATAGTAACTGTCCTATACAGGAAAAAGTTTTGTTACCAACTTATGTGTTGTCAACACGTGTTGGTAACAAATGTTTTTGTAATTACCTAGTGTTGGCAACAAAACTTGTAAACATTGTAGGGAACCGTGTTTCTTGTAACATTGTAGTGCCGTGTAGTGGCAGTTAAGAATATCCACTACCCCATATCTTCCCGTGGGTGTCGTAAAAGGCGACAAAGGGAAAAAGGCAGGAGATGGGCAGCAGCATCTTCCTGAAAATAGCCAAAATAACAATAAAAAAAACTGCGGTTGCCAACCCGCTCGCCAAGCGTGGCAACTATGGCAATATACCCCCCATGAGCAATGACAATAATAAACGGCCCCCAGTCCCCGGCGGCCCCGCTATTCCTGGCTACGGTGGCGACCATGGTAACGGCGGGGCAGGGGGTGCTAAGAATCTCCGGTGGAGGTTCGGTTGCCACCTACGACGACTCGACCTGGCAACATACAACGCACGCACCCTGAGGACTGACGAGAAGATTGTGGAGCTGGAAGAAGAGATAGACAAGTTACGCTGGCATATTATAGGATTATCCGAAGTCCGAAGAGAGGGGGAGGACACGGTAATCCTTGAATCCGGCAACTTGCTCTATTACCGGGAGGGCGACCATCTGTCCCAAGGAGGTGTCGGATTTATCGTCCACAAGTCTCTCGTTAACAACGTTGTAAAGATTGAGAGTGTGTCGACGAGGGTTGCGTACCTTATACTCAGAATCACCAAACGGTATTCGCTGAAGGTCATACAGGTTTACGCACCAACCTCGGCACACCCCGATCAGGAGGTGGAGGAAATGTATGAGGATATCTCTAGAGCCATGCATTCCTCCAAAACCCAATATACGGTGTTAATGGGAGACTTCAATGCAAAACTAGGCACAAGAGAGAACGGTGAGCTGAAAGTAGGGAAATTTGGAATAGGGCAACGGAACCCAAGGGGCCAGCAGCTGGCCGACTTCATGGAGAAAGAGGGACTCTTTATGATGAAATCTTTCTTCCAGAAGCGGCCCCACAGGAAGTGGACCTGGTCGAGCCCCGACGGTTCGACAAAAAATGAGATTGACTTCATTATGACGACCAGACGACAACTGTTCAGTGATGTCTCAGTGATCGCGAGGGTGAAAACCGGCAGCGATCACCGAATGGTTAGAGGCACACTGAACCTAAACGTTAAGTTGGAGAGGTCTCGTCTAATGAAGTCAACGCTCCGTCCCCCTCGTGCTCTAATCCAAAGTCCCGAAACCTTTCAGCTCGAGTTGCAAAACCGTTTTCAGTGCCTAGAAGACTGCAATGAAGTGGACGATTTGAATGACAAGCTCGT